GTATTTCATGGAACCCTAATAGGACATATTTGCTTTCTACATTATTCTATTTTGCTAACATTCAGTTTGCAATACAGTAAATTAAATCTGTAGTTCCCATTTATTTTTACTGAATACTGCATATTCCATTTACAGGGAGAAGGAAAGGCCTGCTTCTTTAGCTAGAGAGTCATGAGGGGTCTTCTGAAGAGCATGGGTTACACAGATGTAATGGAAAGAGAATTGTCCTAAAATTGGTGGAGATTTCTGTGAAATGCTTCAGGGAATTACCCTATACTGTCCAGAAACAAATCACCACCACTTCGAGAGACTTTTTGGTAAATGAGCAACGGAGTTTAGGACAGGAAAAAAGATTGTACTATTTAGCATTTTTGAGCAATTAACATTTTTTTTAGTCATACAATTCTTAGAAAAAGCAGCCCTGTAATCACAGTCTTATCTAATAGATATGCTACAGAGGGAGAAAGGAATGGAGTGAAAAGAGGAAAAGAAATAAACTTAATAAAATATAAAAGCAGTTCCTTGCTGTTAATATACAAAATTCACAGCTATCTTACAACTCTTTATAATAAAAGTGGGATTAAAGCTAATTTCCCAAACCTGAATTTTTGAAGGTGTAATTGTAGCAGCCACATTAAGATATACAAATTATCTTCAGTTCAAATTGTAAACAAACTGTCTAAATATCATCTGACAGTGGATTACAATACCATATGACAGTTTAAAATGCACTGTCTCATTTAATCAGATCAAAGAACAAAAAATTATGTTTTAATACAAAAGAACAGTTGCATAACTAAAGCATGTTACATCCACTTTATTCTGAAATTGTTTCAGGAAAGATTATAATGAAGATTTAGTATTAAATCTATGGAAATGAAAAGGAAGCCACCATCGCCAGGAACAGCATGACTTAAAGCAGGGATGGACAGCCTATGTCCTGGGTCTCTCCCGCAACCCATTGTGGCTCCCAGAATGGATAAAACCATATTTAAAAACTTTATCCCCAATTTTGGGGTGGGAGGGCAGTTTAACACTTGCAGAACATAATGGCAGATGTCTTAGAAATAGGCATGGAAGCCAGCCCAACCCACCACACAGGGCTGTTGGGGGAAAAATGGGAAGCAGGAACATCCTGTATGCTATTTTGAGTTGCACATAATAAAAGTGGGATATAAATCTAATAAACTAAATTATTCTAATAAAAACTTAATAAATGAGTGAGAAAGACATATAATTACTTATTTTAACCTCCCCCCCCCGGATTAAATTTAGGATTTTGCCAGACATGAACGAACATGGTACACTGTCTGTACCAAATCTCAAACCATATTATCAAGCCAATTGTTTATCTTGAATTACAGATTGAATCATATCACCATACCGTGGGGTTACCTCTGCTGAGGAACTGGACTCTCAGGAGGCTTGCAAAAATATGTTTGGATACAAACAGAAGTGCAAATCTATATATTATTTAAACATAAATAGTATGGGACTATGGGATAGATATACAAAAATAAGTCCAGACTTATTGCCTGTGCTTCAGTACTATACAATATTTATTTTCATGGAGGTTAATCTAGAAAAAAATGATCACTGGAGAGATAATTTGTATATATTGCAAGATTTAATCGTCAAGAAAGCAAAGAGGCTATCTTTCAAGACTCCTCCATGAAATGTTCAGAATTACCTAATTGACTCCCACACCTTCAACTAAGTAGTATAGCTCAAAAGGAATTACAAAAATAAGATGGAACACTCAGAGATTTGATTATAGGTAGTCTTCGGGTTACAACCACTCGTTCAGCAACTGTTCAAAGTTACAATGGTGCTAAACAAGGGGGACTTCCGACCAGTTCTCAGAGTTCTGGCCGTTGTGGCATCCCCAGTCACATGATCTGGGTGCTTGGTGCCCGGCTGATGATTAGGACACTGCAGCAAACTGCAGCCACGTGATCGCAATTTCCAATATTCCCTACTGGCTTCCCAAAAGCACAGTCAATGGGGAAGCTGGCACAAAATCACTCCTGCCACTTTTTGCCTACCCACACTCCATAGTGCCTGCCCGCAGCACCACACCTGCCCACACTCTGAGCACCCACCCATAGCTCTCACCTGCTAGCCTGGGGTTCTGGCCTCTTCCTGCTCAACCCACGCAGTCCTGTGGTTACGACAGCACTGGGACTGTGGGATTGCTGTTGCTAAGTGATGTGATCACGTGACATTGCACTTTATGACCACATCGCTTAGCAACAGAAATTCTGGTCCCGACTGCTGTCATAACCCTGAAGACTACCTGTAAATGTGAAAAACTTGTAACACAAAATTCAGAACATCTATTGCAGCTTATTTATAAGTTGTTATGGAAATACAATTCAGAAACTGGACAAGTCAAAGACTATATGATTAAATGGACTTGGAATTTAAACAGGACAACTGATATGCAGCAGTGGGAATACCAATGGAAGATAAACATCTAATTTACTGTACATAAATGAATTTACTCAGGGAAAACTGGTACAATTTTTTTGGTTGATAAATTAATTATTCCAATATTGCTTGCCAGAATGAATAACTCATATAAAAAAAACACTGGAAATGCAATAATTAGTTTGGATCAGTTTTTCACACTTGGTGGCAATCTCATAGAACTCAACAATTCTGAAAGAAAATGTACCACAGTATAAAACAAATTTAAAATATTAATTGTTCTTTCTTACCATTTTTCTGCTAGGCATAACTAAGCCTTATATAAAGTATATAGGTTTGACTCTGTATATGACAACAGTGCCAGGATACTGTATGCTTTTTACTGGAAACTACATACAATTCCTTCTTTAGATAACAGCAACAGTATGAATCAATGACAAAAAAAGCTTCACCTTTAACAAACAAGTCTGATAAGGAATTTAATCTGGAAACCACTTTTAGACCATAATTCTACATGTGGACTTGTACAGCTTCCTAAATTTGGATTTCCTTTAACATAAGGTTTTAAAATATTCGATTTTGCCTGACCCGTTATAAGAGTAAACTTAGATAGAAATTTGTCTGTTTATTCTGAGGATTTTTATCATTTAAATTGTGTTTGCTAAGTATTACTGATCTTCCTTTAAAAAGTTAAACTAATATAAGATTACATAGCAGTACTAATCTTTTAGTTTGAAAATTTGTTCTCAGCTTTACATAGCTTGTAAATCTTATGTTTTTTTCTTTTCCTTTTTTCTTGGTTGCACTTTCAAATATATGCTAAAATAAAATAAAATTGCACAAAAAGTATTGCAGTTTAAGTTACCCACTGCAGCCATAGAAATATCACCTTCCACAGTGGGCAGATTTTCCTGTTTTGGAGTAGAGTTTTAAGGGGCAAAATATCCCCTTAATTGGTGCTTCTGTAAAGCTTAGAAAACCAATCTTGCTACTTCAAAAATCAAAATATCCATCTCCCCATTCTGGTAACCCCATGGTGTGACAAACCCATAGCCTCTATGGCTCTTAGGCAAGACACGAAGACATAGGGTTGACTACCCTTAAATGACACAAAATGGTTGAACTCACAGAGACCTACTTTTCAAGATAATTCTCAGTTAAGAAATAGCAGTATGGTTGTAAAAGGAATTATAAGTGGAAACCTTAAGGACAAGTTCATAAGCATTTTCACTGATTTTGCTACAATAGTAGTATTCTAAGTCAAGTTCATTATACATATGAAAGATAACTGAATGACAGAGTGCCACTCTATTGATAGCAGTCCTGCTACTTTAAAAACAGCTGACATGTATTCAAATGTTACTTGAAAGAACTGAAGAATTTATTACTGAAATGCCAAAGCTGTTATTGATTCAGAATTTTTCAGCATTTCAAATATTAAAAAAGTTGAAACATTTGAATATAAATAAATTATAATCAAATGTTCTCATATCCATAAAATCTTGTACAGAGTCTCCGTGGCAAAAACAATTATGTGGCTTTTAACAAAAATGTAATGACTTTCCCTTGCAGTAGCTTGGTTTGCATCCCATATTATACCTTTAGTTTTTCCTTTGATCAATTTAAATTCCATCAAAATGTCAAGAAAAAAATGCTACTAAAACATTTGGAGAATTCTATGTTACATTTACTATATATTTATTGAAATATATTTTCTCAACAATGTTATCACAGAAGTCTGGCGTATATGCCAATGCATAAGTTAATGCTTTGCTGCAATTTAATTTTCAATTTGATCTGTTTTTTCAGTTTAGGATCATGTGATCCCATGGGCAAATTTACAATTTTATAAGCAGTTGTAGTCAACTATTTCCAAAGGTTTGAATTCAGTAGCTCAAAAACACTCAGGTGAATTATCAAAAAGCCTTAAAACAGGGAATATATAAATACAGTTAAATATAAACAGTCTTGATACACAATTTGTAGACTATTACTGATTTTGATAAACAAACTGATACTTAGCATATACTAGCCCTCCCCAAAACTGTGCCCTCCAAATGTATTAGACTACCAGTTTCATAATTCCCTAGTCACCATGAACAGATATTGGGAATTATAGTAACTGACATCCAATTTGTATAGAGGGTGCCAAGTTGGGGTAGGTTGGCATATACAGTAAAGAGTGGAAAAAACACAGAAGGCATTGGTATGGGTTATAAAAGCCCTTTTATAAAGCCATTTTTAAACAAAACCAAAAAGTTTACAAAAGAAAAAAAGATACAGAAGAATAAGTTGCTTAATATATTCAAAAAACAAAAACAAACAAAAACAAAACAAAGTAGGGAGAAGGAGAGAGAGAGAGAGAAAGAGAGAGAGAGAGAGAGAGAAGAGAGAAAATAAGGGGGACACAATTCCAACATGCTGAACAATAAAGGGTTCTTTTCCATGTTCTCTTTTAATACAAAATACAAGCCAAGGGTACACATATTTAAAACAGAGCTCAATAATAGATATGCAGTCCTGGGAACCCTTCAATAAAAAGCAAAGCAGGGACTGAGTTTTTTTTTTTTAAATTGCAAGTACATACAGAGACTGGAATATGTAAAATTAAGTAGCACGAAAGACTGTCACACAATTCTACCAATGCATGTTGCATCAATAATTCACGAACATGGTCAACAATATCATGTTCACTTCAACCCCCCTTTTAAAATTCATTTTTATATAAAGCATTAGAATTACATTCAAACTGAACCCCTAGTACCATGCTGCAGATTTCACTCTCAACGGACTGGCAATTTTATTGGTTAATTATCATGACTGGTGGCCTTGGCACCCCATTTGAATGTATGCTTTCCAATAATCTGGAGAGAATTAGAACCCAACAAAATAGTTAATTCCAAGACAAATATCCACTGCATTCACTTTAATCAATTTCTATCTGATACAAAGAGCACTTGCTCCATTTGTTGCCTTTCTCTCTCTAAAACTTGGGAATTTTTAGGGTTTGACTGTGCCATGTTCCTGATAAACAAATTATGTAAAACTCTTATATACAATTTCTGTAATAATTGTTTCTGCAAAGTAAACCACAAATTTCTAACACACATTAAATTGTCAGACAGACACCCATGCATGCGTACACACATGCGCTTTCATTCCCACTCATACAAGATACTTGAAGGGGTTTTCATGTTATGGTGGCTATAGCAAGTTTATGTTCTGCCCCAATGCTGTATTCTCAATTAAAAAATCCCCACCCAGGTATATAAAACATATGCATAATGGTATTTTACATTCATACCAAACATGCTCTGATGGAACCATTCCGTTTTCTACTATTTTGAACAGCAGCAGGTGGGTCAATCGATCTTTTCAAAAAAGGTTAACACATCAAATCAACATGTAGTGAATGCTTTAATAGACTCAAAACAGAGAAGCACTTGCTTTAAATGTTAGAAGAGTTTTAATAGAAAATAATGAAGTGTAAGCTCTCCAGCAAAGCAGTAAACTGAAATAAGAATGTGGAAAGAGATACTAAAGCCAAGCATCAGCTTAGTTTTGTTTATGAACCCTGGGCCCTGAAATTATTACAAGTATATCCATACCCAGCTTCTACACTGTGCATTTCACATATGGCGCACTGTCCCATATGAACATAAGAGGGGATAATCCCAGACTCCAACTGAAATTGGGGGTGAAGGAAAGGAGAGTTTCAGTAACAGGATGACCAAGCTTGAGACCAAGCCATTCAGATCCAGCCATTTAATGAAGTTAACTGAAAAGGGGAAAGAGTTAAATCTCCCCATAAAATACTAATACGATTTACCAAATACCTAAAATCATGGGAATCGATTTCCTTTTATTTTATAAAATCATGTGTCAACATTATGATTTGTTATAAAAAATAAACACTCCACAGAAAAATTACATAAAGCAAAAGCACCAATTTCTACAGCTCATAAATTTCCAGCATGTTTATAGCATTTTTTCTTCCTTAGCTCTATTTAGTTAAGCTGTCTCATATACTTGGGTAATGCTTTTAAAATCAGTCTAAAAGTATTTTCAATTAACAGTTTCATTATTTGGTGCAGGCATATTACAATTGAGTATATTCAACATTTATATCACATCAACCACCCGAATGCATATACATTTCCATCTTTTTCCCCCAATATATTTCAACATGATTTTTTAATATCAGATCAAACTAGTCATTATGCCCCTGCATTTGTTTGATCTGTGCTAAAATATTATACTGAAGAGAAGTCATCACAAAGAGTGTATCTAAACATTATCCTTTTACAGTGTGCAAGTTATTTCTTCAGTATTATAGCCACCATTACCCTTCAGGCCCCAAAGGTAAGGTGCAAACACACACCTTTCAAAACGTCACTGAAATTTTATGTATACCCCTGTTGCTATCACATTTATATATGAAGTAATAACTTAGATACACTAAACATATTTGCTTTTGGTTTTTCAGCAAATGCAAGAAATATTTAATTAAAACTACTACATCAAAAAACCTGCCATTCCCAGGATGCAACCAATATAGTCTGATTAACGCACACTGGAATATACCTATTTGTTTATCTGGCAACACTTGTTCTATGGAACAAAGTAATGAACTAATATAGCTATTGCATCCCTAGAATACCTCACATAAAAGCAATATACACAGAGAGACAGAAGTCTGCAAAATAGAATGAAATATTTAAAATATTATTTTGCTACTGTTATGTGAACAGCAGGGGAGAAAATTAATGTTCAGTCTCTGGACTGTTTATCAAATGGGAAAAGGCCAAACAACCACTATCTGAATTAAGAGATTTCAAGAGCCTTGAAAATATTTTTGTCCAGGAGTTAAATGCAAGGATCAGTGAAAGCACAGCATTTGATTTAGGATTAAGAAATCCAATTGCTATCATTTATCTGTAAGAAAAACAGGAAGAATCTAAATGGCTTTCCAATTCTTATTACACACCAATGTATCTGTTAGTAAAAGGACAGAAAGAAAAAGAAATGCATATTCTATAAAATAAATTTGAATCAGCAGCAAAAATATATGGAAAGATTGAAATATATTGCTGGCTGACCACAATAATTAAAAGGTAATCACTCCAATCCCTGCACATTTGGAGCAACTAAATATACTAGGTCACCAAGCATTTATTTGTAGGATGGGATAAGTCTGTTTTGAACTTACAATTCAGACATAAGTAATACATAGCTATAATACCATTCAACACTTAAACCTCAATTAAATTGGCAAAAATTACTCAGCCTGGATTGGCTTCTGTCACAGGAGAAAGTCAAAACATTTCCACTTTCTAGATATTGTTCAAAAATTAATAAGCCAACATCTAGATCAAAGCTGTCACTTCAAGCCAGTATGAATTTGTATTATTTTGCTAAAACGCCCCAGATTTATATTTGAAACAATTATAGACGCAAGTAGTATTGCTTTAAATAAGAAAACAAAATAAAGGGGATAAGCCAAGTATTTTTAAAATGCAAATTATACTTTGCTGGGTTTGTGGGTATGTATGTGTGTGTGAGAAAGAAAGAGAAAACCAGAATGGTACTTCATTTTCACTTTGGCTTTGCAATACTTATTAGGTAGGCCTAGCCTACAAAGAGAATATTTTTGGGGTTGCCATCCATTTGGCTTTTTATAAACTTACAATATATAAGCAGAGATCAAACGATCTGTCTTCAGAACACTAATACTCAACCTCTATTTAAAGAGATTATGGTTGAAGTGAAAAGTGAAAAACAACTTCAAATTACACTAAATACGGCAGTTCCTTTTACAAGGACAGAAAAAAATCCAACTTATATTTAAATTGGAAATGTCATTGCATCACTTAAAACTTACTGAAATGCTAATTCTGGCAGGATTTTGTTGTTATATCCCTCATGTCTTCCAGTTTACACCCTGTTCCTTGTTTAGCCTAGGTGTCCAGCTTCTGCTAACCAACAAATAAGACCTGGTAGTGAACCAGCACTCACTCTCCAGGAAGGGAAGTTAAGTAAACAGTGAGGGGTATGGTAAAAGACAAATTACGTTGGTAGAAGCAGAGTATTCTAACTTTGTGGAATATGAAGGGAAATATACTTAAATCAACACCCAGTGGTTGAATAAGATACTGTGTCATCACCCATTCAGTGCATTGCTCAAAAATTTTAAAGCAATTATTCCAGCTTCCAGAATTTCTCCATGAAATCAAACATTATGGAAAGAAAGCACAAAAAGCACAGGAATTTTATAATAAGCTGGAAGGATATGAATGCATTTTGGCCAACAGAAATGCTATCCTAACAAAGGATATAAATGGTATAAACAGGTATGACCTTCTCAAAGCCTGGAACAGATCAGACTAAATTATTATTAAAATAACCTTAGCCATTAAATAAACAGTGGAACCCCAAAGATTCAGAATATTGGAACTTGCAATGCTTAATGGAATTCAAAATAATTCAGGTACAAAGGATGGATTTATGCCAACAAAAATGCTATATGCAATAATCTACTGTTTTTGGATTCAATTAAGCAAACTGCCTTCCCAGCTTTGGAAAATCTATTTGTTAACTATGATCTTCAAGTGTCAGCTTCAATCTTATTGCTTAACAACTGTAGTAAGCTTTCAAAAATATATCTTTAGTTAGCTGTTAATTTAAATCTAAATGGCTTTCAGATTTGTTGGGGAGAACGGAATGGCCAGTAGAGACTGTGACATCAAAACATAAAGGTTTTCTTAAAAAAAAAACAAAAAAACAGAAGAACTGTACTATTAAAACAGCTAAAGTAAAAGTGGCATTCACAGCCCAATAGTCAAGCCACAACCAAAACCATGTTCTACCCCCTAAGTATATCCTCTTTTCCTTACTCTCTCTCAAAAAAGTTTCTCTCCCACACCACCATTTAATCTTCACCAGATGGGACTTCATCTTCAGACCCTTCATCCCCAGATTTATCTGGAGGTGGACTAACTGATTTCTTCTTTTGTGGAGGACTTTCAGGTTCATCATCATCATCTTTGGGGGATGGGTTTTTTTCTTTTGATGTCTTTGAAGCTGTGGAACGACCTCCCTTTCCTTTGCCCTTTACCGGACTAGGTGTAACTGAAGAAAAAAAAAGCATCAAAACAATAGTAAAATATTTTACTATTACAATACGCACATTTTAATAATTAAGATATACATCCAGTGGGTATCAAATCTAAGGGTTTTTTTTTTCTTTTAAACATTGCTTTCTAGTAATCTAATAAAACAGGATCACATTAACTCTTGAACAAAGCCAGGATTATTATGAAATCATACAGGACTGTTATTCAACAAAGAATCAAGTTGAACTCTTGCTATCTGCATTTTGATAGTAACGTACAGGCAGCCTACAAGCAAGTAACCTTCTTGTCAACAAGCTTTGGTTGACAATGCTTGCCTTCCAATTTTCCATAAGCATGAGCAGCAAAAAGATGATAATGAAAGCAGTTTTGATACAATAGGACTTTCTACTGTAAGTATAGAAGGCAACAGCATTTTTGAGGATAAACAGACATGAGGGTAGGGAGTAAAATACAACTCTCCTATACATTTTTCCACCTAAGCTGAAAGGCAATTTCTAATAAGCAACATGTAACCAAATAAGTATTGTGTTATTTGAAGGGGTATATAGTTCTGTATATATCTGAACATGTGAAAATGAACAATTCTTTTTTCTAACAGAATGAAGTAACACTACTCGTTGGGGCTAATGGACACTAACATCACTTGTTTTAATCAGCACTGGCAAGTGGTCTGAACATAATACTGACAATGACGACATCAGAAAAATCCCATCAACTTCAGTCACTATATTTCTTTGAAAAAAGGGATAATCCACAAATGAACTTTTAATAACCTATTCAATTACACTACACACATACACACAAATATGGATTTAACATTAATTGGGAATGATTTGATTCATATCCTTCTAAGCACACAAGATGAAGAGCTGAGAAAACATAAGTACTTGCAAACAAATTTCATTATGTCATTCTTAATGGATGTAAAATAAGAACTTTTGAAGCAAGCTAAGCTCACCTGTAGCCTTTAGTCTTGGTTTAGGCATTTTCTTTTCTTTCCTTTCTGGTTTGGATTTCTTAGCCACTTTTTTATTCTTCTTTTTTGAACTGCCATAGTCACTATCATCATCATCTTCCACAAGGAAGTCTTCATCGCTGCCAGAATCTTCTGTGCAGAGAGAGAGGAATGAAATGTCTCTAAGAAGAGCTGTTCTTGTTCACTTGGAAGAGAGACAGAATGAGGGAGAGAGTCTGGTAGGCTGATCAAGAGATAGGAGTCAGTATTCTTGGCTTCTATATCCTGTAACACACTTGCTAGAACTTGGAGAAATCACGACTTCTGTGCCTCAGTATTTCCTCATGTAAATCTGCTTTAGGGCTTGTGATAAGTAGAATAATTATTTAAAATAGCAGCTGCATAGGCAAATTTCTCCTTCCCTCAAGAGCAATTAAGGCTCAAAGCCTGACCATTTTTACACCAGCTGTTGTAGGTTCTACATCAAAGCCCTTCCCAGCCTGTCATGATTGCTTTCTTGTTCAATACGATCTTCCATCTTGTAGCAAGTTGTAGAAGTGCCCTTTGCAGTCAATACCAGTAACATTACATACGGAACACAGTATCTTACTCTTCCTAAAACAGACTTCCAGGTTTTGAATCCAGGTTTCCATGATTCTAGTTCATCAGTTCACAGATTCACTGGGTTTCTGTTTATTTGATACATTCACTGCAAATTTCTCATGGGTCCCCACCTTTCACCATTTAGAGCAAGCGTCTGTCAATTTATACAACAGACAAGTTAGAAAGCAAAATATGTACTGCAGATACTTTAACACAAATTGGTTTTTAAACTTTTGCTTTATTCTAACTGTGAAGATGAAAGGATTTGAAGCCCTTCACTGTATCGTGAAGCCAGATAAGATGGTACTTGTAATAAAATAAGACTGTTCAGACTATTGCCCAGTGCTGAAGGTAAAACAGTGACGAGTGGCATTTTTAACATTAACATTTGCATTTCTCTAGCAGAATATTACCTAAAAATTGCCATTGTCTGAAAAGATTTTATGTCCTGAATTTTAGGGACAGCTTTTTAAAAAATCCTCTCTTTGCTGCCAATAGCCAAGCTGGACATCAAGTATATCAACAATGATATGAATGTAATGCTTAAGAAGCTGAGATATCAAGTTTGGTTGTCTGAACAATTAATGTGGACACCGCATCACATATGGCTGCAGATTGACAGTCCCATTCATATTTTCCATACATCTGTACATGTGCTACTGAGTGCCACTTACTATCCTGAAATGCTGCCTCTTCCTCTTCCTGATCTTCCTCCTCACTTCCCACATCATCCATTAGCATTTCTCTTTGCTTGGAAGCAGCTTTGGATGCTGCTTGCCGCTGCTGACGCACATTTTTGTGATCTTCTTTCTCATCCTCACTGTCCTCTGTTATAAAGTCAGAAAGATCACTAAATATTGACAATTCTGTATACATTCCCAATTTAGGTAGAAATAAATAGGTAGAAATAAAACTCCATCTTTTCACAGTGCAGTTGAGTTCATTGACTACTACTTGTATCTGATAATTTGCAATTTACAATTATTCTGTATATGTTTTGATGCAAAATATTACTGGTAATGGAACATCCAGCATTAAATTAACTGACAACCACATCATACTCAAAAGCAAAAGCAGGGATAATTATTACTCTTGATCCACACACAGAGCTTACTTTCTTTTCCTTCATCCGGCCTTCTAAACTAAGCAAAGGTTTATGGAATGAATGAATTCATTCATATGGGGAAATATGAACAAAATAAGAATTAAGACACCAATTAATTAATTAATTAAGACACTAATCAGAACCAAAACAGTGGGAAGAGACCAGGATAAACAAAATAGGCAACAAAGTTTAAAATCTATTTTATGAGTCTGTGTATATTATGACATATTCTTTGTACACCTTCAACATGCCTCAGAACAAGAAACAACTTGATTTATTTCTGATTTTACTAGCTTTCATCCATATAAATGGTTGCTTATGTACTTCAAATTGGTTATTTAAATTACAAGATGATTTGTTAAGATTTCATGAAACATTACAGGTAGTTCCCAGTTTAAGAATTAGTTCCATTTCCAAGGTCTGTCCTTAAGTCAAATTTGTATGTAAGCCAGAAAAGTATTATTGTACAATACTGTATAAGTAGTGTTGTGCAATGAACTTGAACCATTGTATATTTCACTCGAATCATTGTGTATTTAACTTGAATTTTGCTACCGTTCGTAAATATGGGTCATCTGCAACCCAGGCATTCTCAACCCGGGGACTATCTGTACCTGAAGTTGTCTGTCAATCAATCAATCAATCAATCAATCAATCAATCAATCAATCAATATCTTGGATTTTTTAGCCTTTTTATCTTTCTCTTTGTAATTTTGGTTTTATAATCTTTTAATTATGTATTGCCAATTTTAGTTTGTGGTAAGCCGCCCAGAGTCCCCCGTTGTGGGGAGATGGGCGGGGACAAGTCAAATAAATAATAAATAAATAATAATAATCATGTATCACTTAGGTATTAACTGATTTTGTCTTTAAGTACGTCATTGGAAGGCATTACCTGCAGCCCTTTTTCTAGATCTGGAACCAGCTCTTTTGTTCTTGTCAGGCTTCACTTTTTTTCCTTTTTTGTTCTTTTGAGAACTTTCATAGTCACTGTCAGCTTTACCATCATCTGCTCCTATATCATCCTCACTGCCAAAATCTTCATCTGAGAAAAAAATGACAGAATAATAACAACAACTTTAACACCATCAAACAACATCTGCCTATCCTAGGTCCTTGGGAAGGACTCAATGGGTGGATAAAAATGCCAAATCCAGTCTGGGTGACTATGCAATCAACAACAGCAATAATAATAATGGAAATATTCTTAGAAATCTGCTGTAGCAGGGATGGGAAGGTTCTGTTACACCCAGACACCCCCACCTAGGATGGGTCTGGTCAATTTTGAAGAATGCTGGGAGTTGAAATTCAGCAACAGGCGTCCCATCACTGTGCTACAAGGAAAACAAATCGTATAGCACTAACTATTCAAAGATTAATTCCACATAACAGGAATAAGTAGATGATTTAAACCAGAAAGCGTTAAGGGTTTCAGGCAATAGCAACAGTGAAGTAATCCATTACCTATTTTGATCTAACTGCCATTAATTTACAAAAATGGCATAACTACCTGCTGAGTGTGAATCATCTCTCTTTGTCTTCATGTCCTTTTCTGAGTCTTCACTGTAAAAAGGAAAACAATTTTAAACTACTGGCAAAAAGATTGTTGTGATGTTGCTACATTCCTAGATGGAGTTACAGGAACAACTAAATTGGCTGATGTTCATTTTACAGGATATTATTAGCTGCTCTAGAAATCAATCAATAGTAAGTTAGTTTTCAACTCTTACACTCCTGCAAAATGGGATAATGAATGTAACTTGGAGCTTAACTGTGAGGTCTCAGTACTAAGGGTATATCTTTCTGAAGTTCATCAATGTCACAGCTTTCTCAATAAGGTTTGATTTACAGAGACAGCTAAAATTTTAGTAACCTGGCAAAAACATTTCTAAAAAAAATGCAGTTTTAGGAGCGCCAGTTGAGAATTAACCTGCAGCTATTCAGATCTTATTCAAAAAGCTCAAGTGTACATCTTATACATACCATCAGTTCTCCATTTTTCCTACTTAGGACAAGAAAAGAAAATAGGTGCTACTTAATATTCACTTTTCCCATGACTTATATAGTGAAAAAAAGCAAAGGATCTTGGTATAAAATATTCTGCTCAGATGGTTCAGTGAAATGCCATGCCCACATGCCAATGACTCTTCACACCCCTTTCATGGTTACACCAAGACTGGGGAGCTGTCAGTCCATGATCTGAGCTGTTTCATCCTAGGCTGTTTCCAGTCAATTTTTCTTCCTTGACCTCACCACGGCTTCCTTGCTGCCTCAACTACTTGCACATTTGGTGATTATAAGTGCTTCCTCCTTCACCTTTCCTGATGGAAGTGGAAGGAACATATTTTATTAGAATTTTAAAAGCTATAGTCAAATATTATGAACTTGTTATACAAAATTGTCATCCTCCCTTCACAGTTCTTGTATTGATGTACTGTGATGTGGAATGGAAAAAGTTAAGCTACAAAACCTTGCATAAGGGCATAGAAGAAGCTGGCAATACACAGCATCTGTTCCTTCCATTTCTGTAAGGTCATTAAATATATTTCTATTCAGCAGTATCTGCAAGTGGGAGCAAAATAGGTAGGATGACAGTTGCTGCACTGTGATCCAAAGCCTGCCCCTTTTGTATGTGAGCCAACATTGCATGCACATACCAAGGGGTAGGCTTTGATTGTGGTGCTGCAACTGTCATCTTGCCTGTTTTGACACCACTCCCCGCAGACACTCCTATTCCTATTGCATTTCACTCTTCGTAAATAATACCAGATGGAAAAAGATGAAACAGCGCTTACACAAAAAGATGAATTGTTGTATATACAAATGAAATTGGCTGATGTTTTAACAATTAAAAATATGTCATACAAATACTGAAACAGAAGAATGGTGTGGACAACCTTTTTACATTGGATTTACAAAAGCGGCTTGTTAAAGTTGCCAATGATTTTGTGAGAAGAAACAGACAGAGCATGAAAAGAAAACAGATGCTTGGACATGATCTGAAGGGACTAAAGATTGTTGTGAGAAAGGGGAAAGAATATAAAGTCGGTTTATTTGATCAAGGTGAAAATAGATGGTTGCTATTTCTGGTAATGTTTAATGGATTTAAGCTGACTAAGACTGGATGACAATGTTTTAAAGGTTTTATTTATTTAAAGAGATGAGATGGGGGGATTGGTTTAAATACAAAATGAGATATAAATGTAAAAGGAAGGATTCAAAGTGGATTTATTAAATACAGCTTGTAATAGTTACATTGTTATTTCTGATAACCCTTAATGTACTTTTGCTGATTAAGGAGTGATGAGGCTTTAAAGATTTGTTTATAGAGAATGGGGTGGGATATGGGATGAAGAAATGGTTGGTTGCATTTTAAGAGACGGTGATAAGTTGTTAATGTTAACTATACTTGCTGGGGATGAAAGGGGAAGTTTCTTTTTTCTTTTTCTTCTTTTTATTTTTTTCATGTATATATATGTGTGTGTATGTATTTATATTTATATACATATACATATATCTTTTGTAGTTTGTATTACTTTTATCTGTATAATGTAATCCTTTAAAAATTGTTATAAAAAATGGAAGTAAAGGGTGTAGGTTGACCTACACCAGTTTTATGTCTCCTAGCAGAAAGATGCAGGTTTTTTAAAAAGGGGTAGGTAATTTAAATAAAACAGAAATGGTGTTTTGGCTGCCTAATTTTGTTCATTTATTTACTGAAATTTATTTGGATTATTTTCATATTTAAGTGGTGCCAAATGATTTTGGGTTGTCAGCTTTTCCACTTACAATAAAAGAGAAAGAACAGAATTAATGATAAGTTTTTATAAATCTCCAAAAGATCTCATATTTATTATGATTTAAATAGCATTTCCTGGGCTGTTTTGTATTTATAGTACAATCCATTCTTAATGTTTAGTATTCACAATACAATATACTTTTGGATTCTCCAGAGGCATCCAAATACATTGTCCACCTATTGTCTTTTCATTTTTAAAGGATTATTTCAAAAAGACAAAATGTAGAATGGTGATGGGAAAAAAGGGTGAGTTACAAGAGAAAGATAACACTGTTCGTTACCCCTTAAAATGCTGTGAATAATAAAACCATGAGGTGGAAATATCACATGATATTTTACTTTAGGTGATATCACACCTCAACAGGTGAATGATATTTTTTTCCTTCAATACATAGAAAAATCTTGTCTGCTACACTCCTTCCTCCTTAGTGTTTATTCTCTGAATGTACATCTAGGCATTTATTTTTTTGTATTGAATTTTTAATTGCCTAGTTTCATAGTCAATTGAAATAAATTAAAATACAGAATTATATGTATATACACGCACACATTCACACACACACCAAACCTAAAACAGTGGAAACAATCCAATTGTACAGAATTAAATACTCCAAAGCTACATCTAGACCAAAGTAAAAGATTAATATCAAGAATTAAAATATGCTGAAAGTATTGTGATTTTCCAGGTCTTTGATACCAGAAAAACAAAACAGGGATAGGAAAGCTGTGTCTTCCAGATGTTGCTGAACTATTGCTCCCAGCAGCCTGTTAAAATTGTCAATGGTAAAAGAAACTAGGTGCTGTGGTTTAGCAACCACTGGAACATGCTATCCTTCCATGTTCAATGTGACACAGAGCATTATAAGTCAAAACTCAGCATTTCAAATTGGACCCAATTTGTGGGTCAGTGAATACTGTTACAGATTTCATAGAAAACTATCTCCAGCTTACCTGTCCTCCTGAGAATTCTTTCCAGACCTCCTCTTACTTTTTGCTTCTCTTGGTGATGAACGTATTTTCTTCGCTGGAGGGGCTGAATCTCTACCATATTCTTCATCTACACAATAAACAGGATTAAACAGAATTAATAAATAAGTGACTTACAAGTCTGTCAGTTTAACTTGAAAGTCACCATTAAATATAACATTCTGATAAAACCGAACAATTAAATTTTGATCAGAAATGCTGAAAATCCAGGGTTGCTGTTGTTTAAAATAGCATTCTGTAATTTCTGATATTATCTGATTTGAGTAGTTTAAGTTTGCTACATTTTATTGCATTTATAAATAGGGAGTTAGATGGAAAGAATACTGAGAATGTCAAGCAACATTTTTAACTCTTCAAGAAAGTAAAATTCAATCCATTTGTGTTAAGCGAGATAAAACCTCACAACAGCCTTCACCAGTACATTTTTTTTTTGTTTTGTAGTGGCTTGGCAAAGGAATTTCCAAAACACATTGGGCTTTCACATAATTATTTTTACTGGCACTTGAGGCATTTTCTCCCCCTTCTCCTTTTTTTCTTTTGTTGTATAAACACTGCTTTAGTACACATGGGTGAGTTACAAAGTACAAACTTCTCTGCTACAGATGAACTGACAGCCATTACCATATTGATTTTTTAAGAGAATTACATAAATTCATTATGATAGCCATATACTGTCTCTATTATTAAAGGTGGCATGACTTACAGTATTAGATACTGAAAAACATGAACAAGAAGTTACTATTTACATTCATGTTCTAAGTTCAGCAATTAGTTTTCAATGCTAGGGCTGTGCAAAACTTTGATTCAATCATGATTCAATCAAATCATATCTTACAATATATTTGAAAGATAAAATAAAATGAGGTAACTTTGAATTAATCTGAAGAGTCAATGGACGAACATGCATACACACACTTCTTGATTTTGTCTAATTCACACATCCTTATTAAAGTCTGTGGAGTCCTTGGTGCTCTCTGAGTTTGGTTGTTTGCTTGCAGATATATGTATATTGATGTTGTTTTACTGTTGATTGGGACCTGCCCAAAGTTTGATGTAAGATGGGTGGCTATATAAATGTTTTAAATAAATGAAATAAATAAATAAAATCATCAGGTAACATCATTGCACTGATGATGTTACCTAGTTGGGTAATGAAAAGTCTGCAAGCATACAACCAAGCTCAGAGAGCACCAAGGACTTCACAGTTCAACTCTGAGCTAAATATATTCTCTTCCTGTTTCTGATTTTATAAAAATCTCGTACAATTTATAATTAAATTTAACAAATGATAATAACATGGAATTTTACCATATTTTGCTCTTACTAATTAACACAATAACAATTCCAGTACCTATGAAGTTACAGGAGGATGTCTACTATCCAAGAAAGGAAATAAATTGTATAGGTTTCAGAAATGTTAATGGAATTGGCATTTCTCAAGAAACTGAGAATAAAGTTTTTAGAAGCATAGAAATTAAAAGGCTTTATATAAAAATAGCTGGGCAAACAACTAACTTAAAGAACCACTTCAGCACAATCCCTTATAAAATATATATACATATATACAAACTGTTTTTCAACCATTTGTTGCCCATCACTTTTCATAATTGTAGAAAAGTTTCCACATTTTTGCTTAGAAATGATGCTTACCTGCATCATCTGATTCCTGAAACTGTGAGTAGTCTACTACTTTTCTGTTCCTGGAAGAGAAGAAAAAAGTATTAATTTGAGGAAACAAAGTTAAACCCTCTAGAACTGATTTTTAATACAAAGACAACTTAGATACTAGTTTTCAATTCAGTACTTCCATTATTTGTTTAGATTTTGACTAAGTAATAAAAAGGTTTGGTCAATTAGGGTAAACATACATTTTGGAATATTTTAATAGCTTTTTTCCTCCCTAAATCCACCCAGGCAGAAGACTTGCAGGGCATTCAGATGACATAAAGGATTCCCTAGTTCCTGCAGCAAGTAACAAATGATGTACCATTTTAGTGACATTTGTCATTACTGTCTATATTCAGAGATGCCTAAAGTTACAGCAGCTGACCAACAGAAGCACTGTGCAATGCGGCTAAGGCTTGCTTCTGACTGGTCTAGTTAGCAACATTGTCATGAATTTTTTAAAAACATGCAACTTACATAGCAATATTTCTGATTTAGTGAATATTTGAAAATATTTATACATGTTCTAATAATATGGTAATCAAATGACAACAACTGAAGGGAGGAGAAATACTGCTGAAAATATTCTTAATTTCATATAAATTAGAGAATGAACTACTGTATCTCAAAATTGCAGAGAACTTTGTATCACAATTACTTCATCAAAACAAACACAATTTGCAGTGAAAATCACATATCAAAGGTTTGGATATTCTTCCTAGAAAAGAACTGTGAACTTTCTAATCAAAACAAAATATGATTTGCTCTGATGTCTAAATGCACCCATTATAAAAGTGGTTCTAATTTGTAATAGGTGGCAAAAAATAGATTTCATATACATATAATTTATACACATTTCTGAATTACATCCAAAGTTAATTCTTTAAAATTCAGTAAGATTTTTAATTCCAGAGGTATTTAAAAAACAACTTTGACTCTTTACCAAGTAACTTTGCTTTTCCGTCTTATTACATACACAATTTTCTTAAAGTACATTCTCATTAAAAACAAGAGTATAATCAAATTACTAATCGAGTTTTAGGCAAAACACTGGAATGCATTTTGGTGCAACAAGTTATATGAATGCATCTTGAATGAGAGAACATGCAATTCCCCATAAAAGACTAGATCCTGGACTCTGCTACAATACAAAATTCATCCACCATCAGAAATATTTTCATTAGTTCATGAAGTATGCCTTCTAACCACTCTCATGAATGCCTTGTCTAGTTTCTACTTTAATCAAGCTATGGTTCAGCATCCTTTGTCCATCCAGATATGTATTTTCTAGATATACACTATGGCACAAATTAGTCAGGGCCATGACTTTCCTTTGGGGTTATGTGTGATCTTAGCTTGTTAAACTGCCTTAAGCTTATTTGAAGGCCTTCAATCCACTGAGTAATTATAAATCACTTGACTGTACAGAGTCAGAACTTGCAGAATTTTTCTAGATGTTAAAGAATTCTGTGTTTAAGGAATTTTCAGTCTAAATACTGATTGTCTTCTTCACACCCACCTCTTTCTTTAGTGTCAGAATGTTCAATTCTTTCTAAATTGCTATTCATATAGAATAGACTAGGTGGAGTTTTGAGAAAAGGACCTGGAAAATACAACAAGAGCAATTTGTTGTTTACTGATAGTAAAGCAGCTTAATTTTCAAGATAAAAATAATTTTCAAATGTAGCAAAATGTGTAGCTGACCCCTCAAATACAAAATTATTCATGTGGAAGATTTGCATCATTTGATCTTGATGAGTTTGGTGTGCTTAAAATATTATAAGAATTATATTATGTAAAAATCATCATCATCAAAATATTTTTTATAAGCTTACTACAAAATTTTGACAGATCATGGCAATTTAATGATCATGGCTCCTCCAGCACCAACTCAAGAGTTGGCAAATTAAAAAGAGGTTTAATACAGTATGAACCACACACACATGTGTATATGTATGTATACAGTATAAGGTTCACAAACCTAGTACAATTTAGATAAGGTAGTGAAGGGTTGATTATCATAATGGCACTAATAAATTTAAATTTTTAACTTTCAATTTTTTAAAAATCTGTACATTGAACACAATGAATTGTGGCTACATAACATTTCTACTTCTAAGCTTCTTTTACCTCCTTTCTACATAATTTTGACTTTATGATGCCAATGGTGCTTCAAAAGCCAATAAATAAGGTGTTGGGGCTTGTAATGAGCTATGCACACATTTCACAACTCTGCTGTCCTCTCACCTCTCTTGCTCTCATAACTTCTGGGAGAAGCCCAAAGTTTGTTACTACCAACCATTTCAAAGCAATCCTCTCTACCTGTTTTCTCTGAGATACCAGGGAGGAGGCAAGTGACCATCCTATTCCTTCAGCAGATGATCTCGTGGGGAGGCATATGCTAAAAATTAGATCTCTTTCCTAGACTGAACACTATGATTCATTCTAAATCTTAATTTGGAGAAAGAAAGTTGAAAAGAAAAAGAAAAGAGAGAAGGAATGAACAACTGTTATCTGGGGGGAAAAAAATTACTATCACCTTGGGGACTAGCTGTCCCCTCAGTCCTCAATCTCACACACCAGAACAAGTTCATACAGCCTAGATTTCAGTCCATAACATGAAACAATTTACATTGCAGCTAGCTCCATCAATCCTAGCCTGCTATCCAAATTCATAAATTCAAGCTTGGTTGTTGTTGGCTAAGGGCTTTATCCTTACCCTTCCTTCAGCCAGCTTTGGAGGATAAAACATAAATCCCCAAAGGCAAAGCAAAAAAATGGAAGCTGCCCTCCCCTCTTTTAAAAGCCCACTTGACGGGGGAAAACCTCCTAACCAGCTCCTTAATATTTGATTTTCTTGGGCTTCTGTAAAATCTGCCTGTATCTTGGAATAAGTCAGATAATTTTTCTTTAATCCTTTCAAGTCTCTGGATCTCTTGAGTTGCACATTGCTCACCCCTGAGTTAAGGAGTCACATTTGTTGTCCTCCATGACATCTAAAACTGTTATGTATTTGAAAGCAGTTCACTGGACAAAATCCTTGCAAAGTTAACATGCAAGCCAAAAATTGTGGTTTCCAAAGTCCTATATGACTTCCCTCTGGACTTGGCTGAACCTTACCTTCTGCAAGAAAACCTTAGAATGTTCTTCCACCTTGTTCTCCTTCCTTGGGAACTTTTATTATCGTCCCTATTATAATTCAAAGTCATTTAACTTGGCTACTTGTGATATCTGTTGAAATACAGCTCTTTATGAAACATGCTTGTTCCATAAGTTAGGCCAATTCTTGATTACAGCCTATTTAGAAGAAAAAGAAATGCACCATCCTTTTATTGTATAGCTTAAGGGTAAAATGAAGTCCAATAAACTTAATACTTTCCCCATCTATTTTGTCTTTTTTGCAGATTCTATAACAATATCCTGTACAATACTTCCTCAGCCTCCTACATTGTGAGCATGGTGATGTCCCATCTATTTGACTGACTTAGAGCAGACTATTCTGTATTTTATTTTCACAGGCATTTCATCTGTGTTTATATTTGGTTTCTGTCAAATAAAATAAAGAAACACTGAAAAGAAAATAACTGGTATAGTACACAAAGTCCTACATTCCACTACATATCAGGCAATCTATCATGTATACTGGTTGTAATAAAGGTCTGATAAGGAAATGCATAAAAGATAATACTCTCCATCTATTAAAAATGTTGAATTTGTTAAGAAGCTGCAAATTCTAGGTACAAAAAACTAACAATGTGAATACTTAAACTGTAAGTAATTAGTCAGATTTTGACCACCTTTTAGGAAACGTACACTGTACAATCAGTGGAAAATCTGATTAAAATCAACTCATCCTATGTGATGGTGATGCTAGTTTGGACTTTGAAAGCTCTGAAATGACAACCATGAGAATCCTGAAATACCGACTGCACGTATCTAAAGCAGTCCATTTGCTGAAGGACCTTTTCCAACTACCAAATTAAACTGCTCTCCACCCATGCTTTAGTCATCAGAATATCAGCATAAAATTGCTATCCCTGCTACCAAATCCCTCTTCTGATTCTACTTGTCACTAGGTGGTAGAGTCCTTATTTATGGAGTGCAGGGCATATAGAGAAAAACTACTGTACTGATTAAACCCTCTAGGTTGCTCCCTTCCCTCTTTCTCAACAACATCACACACCAGGAAACCATCAACCAATCACAACTCTGCAGTGATTAACAGATTGATTTGACAGTTAGAAGGACCCACGGGTTTAGGTATCTGTCAAAACCTATACTGAGACAGCTGATCTGGGAAGTGGGTGGGGGCTGCCCTAGCCTTCAGCCCTAGGCAGTTCTCCCCATAGACCCTATGCTGAGAATGCATATAATCTATGAAATGGCACACAATGCCTTACTTCTCCTGCCACCCATCCCAGCCCTGGAAACTAATCACCAGGGTGTCAGGAGAAGCTGGGCAGAAGAAGCCAGCATTTCTTGGCAAGCCAAAAACAAAAAAAACAAACAAAAAAACAACAACACACACACCACACAACAACCCCACAACCAAAAGGCTTTATTTAAAAAAAAAAAGATAAAATTCAGTTTAATTTACATTTGCTTTATCCTATTATACTTCACAACTGTACTACAAAATAATTTGTGATTCAACCTTCGTATTCAGGTAGGTTCTCCAAACCTATACGTTCCAATACTTAAGTGGAAAAACCTGAAGTATTTATTTATTTATTTATTTATTATTAAATTTGTATGCTGCCCATCTCCCCCCAATGGGTGACTCAGTTAATCAGATTAAATTACACCACTAACCTTAGATGCCATTTGCAGCCATACAGCTTGTATATTCCTCCAACAGGGTCTGGAAATACTAGATGAATGCTAGTGGTATTACTTTTCTCATTATTTGCCCAGAGTTTTATAAAAATACAATCTGCTGAATCACACAGAATGTAAATTTGTGTAATAAATAAAATAAAAAATAGAGACAGAATTTCAGAAAGATACTCTTCCAAAACCTCTTGGGTGTTTATGC